TGGAATTAATCTTTCATTGGACATAAAATGTTTATGATTTTCTGTTACCATTGCATGATTGTGTTCTAAATGTGCTACGATAATGTACCAAAGACCATTTTTAGTATTAAAAGAGGTGCAAACTAAAAATTTACAGTTACAACGTTGTGATGCTCTATTTCTAATATTAGTACTAATAGATGTTTTTTCTGGATCACCTTCTCGATTACATAATATAGTTCTTTTACGAATAATTCCTACTGCATTTTTTTCTACTTTTCCTAAACGAACTTGAAATCCTTTTTTCTTTGCATATTCTTTAACTGCTTCAACAAAATTATTATTGGAAGTATAAAAATCACCTTCTTTAGGTTCAATATTAGACATATTAATAGTTAAGTAAAGAAGTAAAATGAGTTATCAAAGAAACATTTATTAGGTAAATAATAACTAAGTAAAAAATAGCTATATAAACAATAGGGGGTCTAGAATAATATTTTGAACCCCCGTCCAGGATAAAATCCTAGACCCCTGGTTCAGGATAAAATCTTAGACCCCCTGGTCCAGGTTAAAATTGTCCTTTTTATTTTCGATATCTTTTTTTTTTGATTTATTAAAATAGATAAAGAAATAAGTAAGTTTTAACTATTTATTTGATTTTTCAACTTTTAATTCGTTGATAACTAATGAGAAGGAATAAATAAATAAATAAACAAATAGTTAAGAAAGATGATGTAACTTTTGATTCATGAATATTAAATTGAAAGATAATTTATGATGCAGATTCGAATGATTAAATGATTAAAGAGATACAATAATAGAATAAAATTTAGAAAATAAAGAAAAAAAAGGTGATTCATGTAATGTGATAATGTGTATAAATTCCATCTTTATTATCTTTATTGATGGCAGCTTTTATAACTTTGAAAATGAGACAATCGGAACAATATACTAATTTATTTTTATATTGTTATTTTATACTAGCTATACTAATGTCTTTTATCTATTTTATTTTATCGTCATTTATTGTAATTATTTTATCGATTATTATCTAATCAGTTTGTACAATTGGTTTATACATTTTTATACATTTTGGTTTATACATTTGGTTATACATTTTTTTTTTATTATTTACTATAATCATATTACTCTCATTACAATTATAATGATTTCATTTACCATAAAAATATCTTTCACTCCGTCCTCTCTCTCTCGTAATTTACAGTGATTTAACGTAATTGCATTCATATTTAACTAAAAAAAGATTAAAGAAAAAAATACACTACATTAATTTAATATGGCTATTAAATATTATAAATTTATCTTAGATATATGATACTACTTTTAGTTTTCGCGTTTTTTTATTAATTTATAACTTTTTAAAATTATTTAATATACATAGTAAAGTGTATAAAGTAAGTTTTATTTTATTCAAATATATTATTTTATACCATTTTTAATAGAAGTTTTTGGAAACGTCATATAGCTAAAGGTAAAAATGATAATTTGTTTCTCACATTCTATTTTTGTATCCGATCCTCATATTCTATTAATATTTTACTTAACTCATATTCTATTTTATTCATTCTATTCATATCAATTCATATTCTATTCATATTATACTTAACTTCAATATTCTAGTGGAATTCAAAACTGGGACAACAAATATGGCATTTGGAGCGCAACACGTAGTAAGCTAACTTTAAGGCATGATGATTTTTTTTAATAAATAAAATGAAATAAAATTGTAAATATCAACTAATTAATTTTCTTCGATAATAATGATGATAATGATAATAATAATAATAGTCATTCACAATTATCATCTACTTCTAACAACATTAAATTTATCTGATTTTAAACAAATGATATTAATAATTGATATTAATAATTGAAAATAAATCAAATTATCATGAAAAATAACAATATTTTTTTAATGCCTATTCTTTTACTTCATTCATTATAAAAATTTATTAAAATCAAATTTGTTGTGAGTTTTGTCATTCTTATTAACCACATTGATTACGCGAACAACTGATGATTTATTATACATAAGGAAAAGATAAATAGAAAAATTAAAATCTCATATAAAAGATGAAATACATAATAATCTTATCAGATTAAGAATATGCTATAAATTTCATATTGCATGTCAGAAATGGATGTTCGATGTGTTTTCTGCTGAACCTAAGAATGAAAGTAATGATGAAGAGAATCACATTCTCCAGAAATACTCTAATGAAGACAAAATAATTTTCAACTTTACTTTACTGACACTTTTGATGAAAAATTACCAACACCAATAATTCTTTGGTCCATCCACGATCATATTCTTTGGGCATCTCAAAGAGCATTCCTTAAAAAACCTCAAGAATTTAATGTTTTCAAAAACTATCAAGATGTATTGATTTCTTGAATCTGATCTTTGGAAAATATCACTAGTCAAATACAAAAGAATCACTGTACCGAATGGTAATTTCTATATTATAGATCAGCTAAAAATTGGAAAAAATCGACTGTCCAATTGCATCCTATATTACAAATCAGCTAAAATCAGAATTCATTTTTGGTACGGTAATTCTTTTGTATTTGACCTGTGTATCATCAACCAATTAAAAAAGTTTGTAAGGATATTCAAAATCAATTCCAAGAAGGGAATAATAAACCACGTAGAGTATTCGTGAAAGATGTGACATTCTTTATTAAAGACAAGTATGGATTTGACATCAAAAATTTACCTTTGTCTAACTTAATACTTTTAAAGATCAGGCATACATTTCTTATCTGAGAATCTATAAATTCTTTTTACAAAACTTACCTTAAACTACAGTATAAATTTTTAAAAGAGATAATGATGATAATAATAAAGAATTTGTATTAACTGATTCAATGATAGGTATCAAAAACTTTCCGAGCTTTTGATTATATTTGAGAGGAGTTTAAAGACCAGACTCCTTTGATAATGGATGTAGATGACTTTGTAAAGATCAAAGTAGTATACTACAGAAGTATTATGAATTGATTAAAGAGAGATTTATTGAAGATATGATTTCTTAAAAACTCGAGAAGATCGAGGATTGAAAATCTTGGGGTGAATGGCATAAGTAAATTATTTATTCTTAATGTTTGCATTAACTGGGAACTTAAAAGTATTTTCTTTAAAAAAAATACTAGTGACTTAGAGTGAAACAGATTTGGTAAATTATTGAATACTGGGAACTCTTTTTCTAAAGAATTCCAATATCCTTCTGTAGTTGAAGAATTAATTAATAAGAATAGACAATATTATGAATATTTTTATCATTTTCAAATCAAGGTTTAAAATTTTGTAATTTTTTCCTTACATCCGAAAATGTAGTTAGTAATTTCAAAAATTTAGATTATGGCTACAAGTTATTTTTACATTTTGATAGTGAAAGTGTTAATAAAAATTTATTATTCCTAAGGACTTTCATTATTATACTTACTGTAGATTTTATAAAGTAAATTGCAGTCCCCTTTCATTAAAATTCAATAAAAGAAATGTTCTTTTGTAAAGCTGATCAATTGAAAAAATCTGGAGTCTAAAAATTAATGTACCTTTATATTTTTTAGTAAGTATCAGTATATTGCACATCATTTAAGAATAACTTGAATCTGAGATATCATTATTATCATTATCATAGTTATATACAGATTGAATATATATAGTGAGCTTCATATGAAATATGGTCATTTCGACTTCCAAAGCTATGAAGATACTTGAGTTTATTTTAGCTTTCATTTTTGCGCTTGTTAAAACTTTCTATTATTTTGATTGATGTATATTTATACAAAAAATAGACCTATCAATAATTAATTACTCAACTTTGTCTCAGGAGATTTTTTATATTGTTGGAAATGGGACTAGCTTGTGCAAACAAAGAAGTATTTAAATCATTAGCAGCAAAAGATGAAGAAGGAAAAGTAAAGTTAGTAGTAGTAGTAATAGAAGAATTAGTAGAATTAGAAAAGTTAATGGCAAAAAATGTAGGAGCAGAAGAAGTATTAGTAGAAATGGAAGCATAAGAAGGAGTTAAAGAAGAAGAAGTAGTAGTAGTATTGGAAGAAGCAGCAGTCAATAAAGCAGTAGAAGAATCAGGGGAAACATAAGTAGGCAAAACAATAGTAGTAGTAGTAAAAGAATTAACAGAATTAGAATAGTTAGTATCAAAAAACGTAGGAGCAGAAGAAGTATTAGTAGAAACAGAAGCAAAAGAAGGAGTTGAAGAAGAAGAAAAAGAAGTAGTAGTATCAGAAGAAGCGGAAGAAGCAGCAGTAGAAGAAGTTGAAGATGCAGCTGTAGAAGAAGTGAAAGAAATATAAGTAGGCGAAACAGTAGTAATAGAAGAAGCGGAAGAAGTAGCGCAGTAGAAGAAGTTGAAGAAGCAGAAGTAGACGAAGCAGGAGAAACATAAGTGGGCGAAATATTAGTAATAGAAGAAATAGGTAAAGTAGTAGAAGAAGAACTAGACAAAGTAACAGAAGAAGAACTAGGCAAAGTAACAGAAGAGGCAGGAGAAACATAAGTAGAAGGAGTAAAATAAAGAGAGTTAACAAAATCAGGAATAGCATAAGAACAAGAAGGGTCATAATAATAAGAACAATTATAAGTAGTAGTAATAGAAGGAACAAGAGAAGCAGTATTAGAAGCGGAAGAAGTAGCAGTAGAAGAAGTGGGAGAAGCAGCACCAGAAGGAACAGAAGATGAGCGGCGACGGTAATAAGACGAAACGGCAGTAGTTGGAAGCGAAACGGAATGAGTAAAGCGTCGATTTTATCTATTCAACGGCATTTTTTCAAGCTAAAATAACTAAAATAACTTTGTGTAAAGTTTTAAATTATCAAAGGTTTAAGAGAGAAGAGAAGAGTAAGAATTATAAATAAAGTCGTTTGTTTATTTTGTTTATATTTACTGATCGTTGATCTCGATCCCATAACTCTGATTGTTTATCATTATTTATATTTACGTGACTGTTGATCCTGATCCTGACACGTTATTTGCATTAATTGCGATCCCGTGATTCTGACTGTCACGTTTTTACATTTTTTATTTTCGATATTTAATGATAATAACTAACGAAAATAATTATCTATTTTATCATCATTTTTTTTAATTATTTATCGATTATTTATTGTAATTATTTTATCAATTATTTACTTATTTTATATCGTCAGTTGTATAAATATGGAAAACATAACTATATTTCTATTTTATACATATGGCGTTATTTATTTACATTTTGTTTATACATTTGGTTTATGTTATTACTATAATTGTATTACTCTCATTATGGTTAATGCTAATATATATAATGATTTCATTTAATAATTTACCTATTTTCATCAAGATTTTTTACAAAAGTCGAAACCATAAAAATATTTTCCACTCAGCCCTCTACCTCTCTAGTAATTTAAAGTAATTTAAGAGATTATATTAATTTAATATGTTTAATAAATATTTACAGTGGTGTTCAAAAAAAATGACAATTTTTAAAATCACGTTATTTAAATGATTATCACACCAATTAAAATGTATT